ATATATATATATATATATATATATATATATATATATATATATATATATATATATATATATATATATATATATATATATATATATATATATATATATATATATATATATATATATATATATATATATATATATATATATATATATATATATATATATATATATATATATATATATATATATATATATATATATATATATATATATATATATATATATATATATATATATATATATATATATATATATATATATATATATATATATATATATATATATATATATATATATATATATATAATATTATAAAAATCATTTTAAAAAAAATAATACAAACTATTGGAAAGATCTCAAATCTCACATTTGTTGGACATATAATTTAAAAATAATTTATATGGAGTGTGTGCTTGCTAAAAATGACAAATGTGTGACCCTTCTATGCTGGTAGGGGTGGTCATAGACTTTAAAAAATTTCGATGAAAATTCATGGTGAGAAAATTTGTTTTGAGGTGATTTTGGTGTGGAGAGAGTAGGTTCACTTGAGATGAGAAGCTTTATATCTTTTGAAATATTTTGTGTGTATTCTGAGTTGTCCTCTTCAATCCTATAGTTAAGATATTTATAGAGGGCAGTGAACCTACATTTAGGATTCTCGAAAATAACAATCACCCAGTTAAACATGATAATTGACTAATGAATTTTTATTTTCTAGAAAGACATGGTTTAGTCTCTTGACTTTGAACTCTCTGACCAAGACATATTATTTCTCACGTTTTCTTATATGGGCGAGTGGGGAATGTCTCGGACGAGATTATCTCTATTGTGGATTGCATGAGGATACCGCCTCTTGCTGGCGGCATTGTCTCCTCGTTCTTGGTGGGTCCTTCGTAAACATATCACTACATAGTGATACATTTATCTTACAAAACAGTTTTGTAATGTTGAGTCAAATCAAACTCTAATATGATATCAGAGTCAATCAATCATATCATAAAACATCTACCATTTATATCTATACACCAAGAGGAAAAAAATAGACGTGGAGAATCTATTAAAAAGATTCAGAATTCCACATTAGTTAAACATAAAACTTCAAAATAATTTATATAAATTGACATATCTCACATTACAAATAGATCGATTTTGTAAGATTGAATTAAATAAAAATCTAATACGATCATACTCAAACTTACATGATATAAAATTTTCATTCCAGGGTTCTAATACACAAAACTCTTAGTAAAAATAGTACTATCACTTCATATTGCATCAATATCCATGCAATTTGATACTATGAGATCTACTAATTATAATTATCTTCAATAATTTTTAGAGTAACCTACATAATTTAATCTAGGACGAATATTATGATGACTAAATTTTGGATCACCATAATCAACAGCCTTGATCACCATAGCTTCACGTCTTCCATCATGTTCTTGAACTGCACCAAACACAATCTCATTTGTTTCACAATTCTGCTCATAATAACTTGATGGAGTGGTCGAAGAATACCGAGTTTGAACTTGGTGTTGTTGTTGGTGTTGCGCTTGAGAATGTTGTTGTTGATGACGATGTTGTTGTTGTTCATTATAAGTATTATCCAACATGTTCATATATGCATGACTATGTTGTGGAATTGTATTTTCTGTCTGTCTATTTATCTGTGCTGACGTTGGAAAAATATTTGTTTCATAGATGCTATTATCTCTGGATTTTTCCAACATTTCTAATTCCTTATTTGTGTATGGATATGTTTTTCTCTGCGTAGGTGTTTTAGTTTCTGGATTAGGAGGTGGTTCGTCTTCGTCTGGAATCACAAAACTTTCTTGCATCGGCCAAGAATTTGAGTGTCGATTTGGATAATGATATTGATGTTGGTGTTGTTGATATTGATGATATGAGAGTTGTTTTCTTTTCGATCCTATGAACAAGCTTAAAAAGATTTCACCCATGGATGAACTCGAGTTCACTAAAAGCCTTCCAAGAGAAACAAAGAAACCTTCATCATGTTTATCAAATTCATCTTCATTTGGGATTAGAGGAGCCCTAACCGAATTGGGATGAGGTCTTTGTTGCGATGTAAATGGTGTTCCCTTTGTTCGAATATGAGTTCTTGAATTCTGAAAATAAAACGAGATACATGATTTAAAATAAAAGTTCGCAATAACGATCTAGTATGTAACATGACAATTTTTTAAGTTGATAAAGTATATTGTAACCGCTTCTAAAGCATCATCTGACTTCAACTCTTTATAACATTAAATATCGTGAATTGTGAAATTCAACTCTATCTTAGATTTGATAAGACATTTTCTAAATTAATTTTATTTATAAAAATATACGAGTAAAACTTACATCCGAAGAAAACATATCTCTCACTCTCCTTTGAAGTAATGCTAACATATAACCAAAGAATCCAGCACAAACAAGTGCGGCTATGCCTGTAACATTATTGATTGCAACCATTTTATATTTGTATGTCCCAAAGTATACTAAACAAATGAAAATTCCAAAAGATTAAAGATTATATTATGTACTTAATGTGGATTATATTCATACCTAAGGGGAAACTATTGTCATACTCATACTCATCATTACTACTAGAAGTCATGCAATCATGTTGATTGAGTTGAATCTCTCTAATTGCATTGTTTCCTCTATCTACCACCAAAAGAGAACAAGTACTACTAACATAAACTATATCAAAATCATTTGAAAATTTTGCATCTTCACTTGGACCATCAACATGTCCTCCTACTTGGCCCCTTTTTCCTCCACCTGCAATTGTAGTTACCCCTATACAAAACACATTTCATAGACTTAAATTAAGTGCTTATGAAATAAGCACTTATTATAAAAGTGCTTATAAATATACATAAGTTATTCTTTTAACTAAAGATAAAATGAAGTTAATTCTTTTCGTGCAAATTTTAAATTTTATAATCTAGAAGAATTTATGAAAATAAAACAAAAATAACTAATCAGACACGAAACAAAGACGACACAAACATCAGACGTATTTCATGTAATACCTTCATCACTGATTTTTCTGATAGCCATATTCAATGTGTCTGCAATGTAAATATTGCCACTGTCATCAACTGTAAGCCCTTTAGGATGGTTAAGTCTTGCATCTCTAGCCCTTCCATCTACATGACCAATATACCCTTCTGAAGATCCAGCAAGCAACTTTGGTTTACTATCTATTGTTCATCCATGCATTACACAAAAACCAAACCAAATCAAACTAAAAAAAATTGTAGATTAATTTATGAACATTGGGAAAAAATTAACAATAATCTATAATAAAGAAATTATGGAATATAAAAAAGTGGAACCTTGAGCTTAACAAAAGTTCATTTTTCTTGGGAATGAAGCAAAGTCATTTGTATAAGGTAAGGCTAAAACAAAAAACATTCTTAAAGGACACATTTGGATTTTGAATCTAGTATATTTGCACAATGAAGCAAAGTAAAAGCCATAAAACAAATAAAAACTTCTAAATTTGATTCTTCTATGTTTTTAAAAAGGATTTTTATTTTTCAAATGAAAAATTGTAACAAACTAGCTATAAAAAAAAAAGTTTTTTTTTCACATTATTAGCTTAGAGAATTTCAATAAAGGAATTTACATCTTGACATTGGGCTTGAGATCTTGTAGACATTACTGTTCTCAGAATCCAGAACCAAAAATTCACCATCTGAAGATATTTGAATTGAATGTGGCTCAATTCCAAGCTTACTCCCATCAAATATTGTTTCCACATTGTAACCGCTTTCGAATTTTACCATGGATCGACTATGTTGAACTGAAAATTTATTTTTCATGAAATTAAATCAATATTAGCATATTAATATATAAGAAAATTACAAACTCAATGGAAAATACTAAAAAATAATAATTAAATTAGTGATGGAAAATTTTTTCCATCACTAATTTAATTATTATTTTTTTAATAGTGAGATTTGTACCTGTTACTTTTGGTTTGGATTTTTGTGATTGTGACCATATCCATTTAAGAATAGAAGAAACAACATTGGAGACAACTCCAGTAACAATTTCTGCATGTTACATATGAGTTTAATTAATACTATATAGTAAAATATAAAAATAAATAATATTTATAAGAGTTAGAGGTTGTTTTGTACTTACTTGCAGGTGGTGGTGTAGCTGAAGATGGAGATAACAAATTCAGTAGAAGAACAAAAGTTAAAAGGAGCATGCAATAATTCCTGGTCATTGTTTGTTTTCCTAGGTTAAGAGACTTAAAGAGGAGCAAATTGTGATATGAAATGGTGACACATTATAATTCATGGGTGGTGTCTAATATAAGCTATTTTGAGAAAAAAGAGTAACACTACCTCTTTTAGAAAGAAAAAAAAAAAGAGTAAAGATTTAAGGGATAGAAAAATAGATGAGATAGAGGTTTTGGAAGAGGATTTAAGTGTATTTAAGCACTTTCATCTAATAATTAACTAAAATTGAAAGTGAAATCATCCGAGAGCATTTCAATGAGATAGAGGTTTTGGAAGAGGAATTTTCTTTTACTAGTTCTTCGAATCTACTAGTTTTCATTCCCTTTACTTTATTACTATGTCTTTGCTGGTCAAAATGCAAACCTTTTTCTTTTTATTAGTAATAACGTTTAGGTTACGCTAATATATATACTTGCAGTCATGTGGAATGTGCTTTTTCCGTGAATCAGAAGCACTTTGAATAATTTTTTTACTTTAAATTTCTTTATAACATTTAAATTCAACAAGATTCATCCTCGGGAGGAATATTAACATGTAAATTGTTTCATAAACTTGTGACCCAACTTTCTTGTGTTCAAACTTTAATTATTACAAGATTAACCATGCAAATCCAAAATTTGCTGCATGTGCCACATAATGGACAAAAAAACAATGGAAAACATAAAATCCAAAGGGTTCAAGATGTCAATTAACTTCCAGCAGATCTCAAAGAATTCTGCATACATAGCTTCCACTCATTCCAAGTCAAGCATCTGGGGTGTCTGAACGAAGGGCTGATAAAAAAAACAATTGAGCACTTTAATCAGAAATAATACGGTAAATATAAGTTATAATGCAAATAAGTTAAACTGTGTCAAAGAAAAAGTAGTTTATGTTTCAATGTTTTTACTCCAGAAGCAAATTTGATAAAAGCGTAGTGCAAATTTCTAAACCTAATGAAAATAATCGTAATAGAGTGGAATGAAAGCAAATTTGAAGCAATACTCAATGAAAATATAATCGCTTTTGTTCAGTTTGAGGTTTGGAAACAAAAACTATGTTTTGAAGGAAAATCTTAACCAAAATCACATGGGTTGAATGTGATTTAAAAGGGTCTGAATTCAAATAGATTAGTTTGAAGAGTACATATTGCACACGGAGATCACATTGTTACAATGAGTTAGAATCAACCAACAAATGATATCATCAAGCAACGTACATAGAATTTGGAATAGAACAACCCAGTGACAAAAGTTGGAAAAGCATCCTCTCATGGCATGGTTTATGTTTTGTGTAGTGAAACAGAAAAGCAAGAAAGTGGGTAAGTCCAAGATTAACCACAACACTGCGGCACTGCTAATGTCCAAAATATAGGACACCACAACACTGCTAATATCCATAATAGGACACAGAACACCACAACACTGCTAATGTCCATAATAGGACATCAGAACACCGCGACACTGCTAATGCCCAAAATATAGGACACCAAAACATAGCAATACATTTTTTCTATGTATAAATACTAGCATGACAAGAATTGAAACCGAGTTAAGAGGAATTATAACAAAATTAAGATAAGAAAATGGATCATGTATTTTATAACTAATTATAATGAGTGTCACAAAAAGAGAAAAATGACAACATTCTTCTATTTATCTCAAAGTAAAAGATCTAATCTAGGGTTAGGAGTGGTCTGAAGTTTCTAGCCAAGAGCAAATGTCAGGTGCTCGGTCTCTTGCTGAGTGCCCAAGATGTATCTAACAGACACTCAAGCCAATTTTATTTCCCAAGGCGTGTCTACTAAGAGTCAGAACTAAAAATATAGTTTTTAGTTGGATATTGCAAAGAGGTGAACACATATGTCAAAGGCGTGCATGATAAGTGTCAGTGCCCCAAATGTGGCAGCTTGACAGTGTACTTTGCAAAGTTGAGTGCGCTTCATAGGTAGTTCTTTACATCGAAATAAAGCGATCCTCTCATAAAAAGGTTGTGTTTTATGAAGAAATGGGATATACACAGATATAAAGATCCTAAAAAAAAGTTGCACCTATGAACTATATATATAGACTACAATTTGTGGTGCCGTATCTTATAGATAAATAAATGGGACAATCCATTCCTAGAGTCAACATTTTGTTTGAAAAATCATTAAATGTAGCAAATTAACCCTAAAAACTGTAATTAGGCCTATAAATGAAACATGATAGCAACTAGATTTATATGATAAAAAGAAGAGCGAAAAGGGACCGTACTAGGTTTTTCGGGTTTCCCGTCAACCCATTTCGAAAGAGAGAAATGGACTTTCTCGCGAGCGATAGCTTCGGTCTTGTGAGGCTCCTTGAGGCAATTCCTGACAAGATTCGCGCATATGTTGGAGTAAGTTATGTATGTCATCCCTGCTGCCCTCCAGAACGGCACTGCTCCGGTTGACGCCATTGATGGATGATAAGGCCCTGGTTGGATATAAAATGATGTTTGAAAGTACATAACAAGTTGTCTAGAATCAATTGAAAGCAATTATAGGCCATAGAAGTATAAATCAATTACAATTTCATCAATAAAATTGTCAATGCAGAAGAATCAATTACAATTACAACAAATCAAACACTGCTAACATCATATTCCACAATTTTAGCTAAATCGCATACTCTCAAACAAATTCAGATTTCGAAATTTCACATAAATGTAGCAAATTGAATCACACAAAAAAAGAGGAACAAATAAAAAACAGAAAATGGAAGAAGCGAATCGAATAGAGGATGAAAGGAACGTCGATTGATTTACCTGAGTTGAAGATGAAGAGGCACAAGCTAGGGTTCGTTTTCGATCGGTGATTGTGAGAGTGTTCAGATTGGATGCTTCACGCGAGAGTTGCGAGAAAATGTTTGTTTTCGTTTCTATTGGATCACATTAACCTTTTGGGAATTCATAAGTCCAATTTTGCATTGAAAATTTTGTTTCACACCCCCGTGATTGTAATTCTTACCCCGGAGTTTGTGTTAACCAAATTTTGTTCTAATATTTTTGAAAAACTAGTCAGAGTATTTGTGTGGGACTATCCTTACAAGTGTCCTTCACAATTAAAACAGCCACTTGCCATTTGCTTAAGAGAAAATATTTATGCAAGAAAAGAAAATGCTACTATAATATAAGTAATTGGAGCACTTCTCAATAAAAATAAATTTAGTTGGACCACAGCCAAGCACCAATTCAATAGTTTTAGAGTGGTTTTCTATCTAATTTTGGGTGATTCGTAGAGATTAAATGGTGGGTAGTGGTCAATCTATTTGGAGTGAAAATTAGAATGATAGTTGATAATTATTGGGCTAGTGATCACCTTTATAGTAGGTGTAATACGGTGGTCAGAACCGGAACGTGTTTCTCTATTTTTTAAGGAATTTGCCAGTTTGCATTTTGCGTTTGTGTTTGCAAAATGTCGCGGTAAACAAGAGTCGTTACCGTCTTTTATTTTATCCAACAAGAAAAGAAAAAAAGCACAGAAAAATTCCTTTTTCGAGATATTTTTGAGTACGGGGGGTAGATTATAGAAAGGGAAGGTATTAACATCCTTTTTATTCGTAGTTATCTACGGGCTCTTAGGTACTTGCTCATCATTTTCAAAATTGTTTTCTTTGTGTTTGTGTGCTTTGAAAAGTTTTTGTTTTGACTTCGATTTAACTCTTGCTTCTGTCTTCAAGAGTGTAATGAAGTGTTTTTGAAAACTTTATTTGTAAAGGAGTGTAAGTGTGAAAAAGTTTGTTTTGATTGAGCAAGTACTTAAGAACTAATCTACCTACTCGAAAAAAGAATCGCTCTATGTTCGTTTCCTTTAGACAGCGCTATCCCACTATTAGTGAGTAGGTAGCATCGTCGTTGGAGTTTGAGGGTCAATTCGAAAAGGGACGTACAATCACTAAAGCAATGTTAGGACGTCTTAGTAGTAACCCTAAAGTCTTAGATCAATTATCCGAGGCAACAATATCCGAGGCAACCTTTCTGAGGCAACTTTGATCTTTGGACAAAAGGACGACCACTAAAGCATTCTATACTCAATGATCATTTACCGAAGGCAACCAAGTGGGAGTGTACCCTAGGAGTGCGCATGTGCGAGTGATTCAATTTCATATTTATTATCTTTGCACATTTAGGGTTGTCTAACTGTTTTAAAATTACATACATTCTTGTCATGCATCCTATATCATACATCTAATAGTTCAATATTTTGCGGAATTTTAAAATGCGGAATTTAAACTAAGCTATTACAAGGCTTCGGGTATTTACATAGCCAAAAACAAACCCTTTGAAAATAAAGCGATAAAGGTAAATAAAACGTCCTAATTAAACTATTACAACCTTGTGAGCAGTTACAATAATATGATAAATAATAAAAATAAAGCGCGCGAGAAAATTAGAACGAATGCGAACTAGGGTTTTGACCCTTCTATCCTAATTAAAGAAAACTTGTTTTTGTTGTTTTTAATAAAAGAATTAAGTTTTCTAAACTAAATACAAAAATTAATTAGTTAATTAATTAATTAATGAAAATAATGACATGACCTATTTTTGGTGTTTTTGTTATTTATAGGAAAAAAGAAAATATAATTAAATTAGAAATAAAACCTAATTGTTCTAATTAGTTTTAATTAAAAAAAAAGAAATTAAGGTTATCTAAATTAATAAACCTATTTAAATTAATAAATTTATTGATAAAAAATATACCTAAATCTAATTGGTGAAAAATAATATTTTTGTGATTTTTCTGATAAAAGAAAATAATTATTTGTGTTAGTAAATAAATAAATAAAATTAAATGAAATAAATATAAAAGAATTAAAGAAAAGAAAATTGGGCCTGCAATATGGGGGTGTGAGAAGCAGATCCTGGGCCCAAAAATAGAGAGGTCTGTTTGACCTTCAGAATTCCATGCCATGCGTTGACCCTGGTCTATTGTGCTCCTTCATTGGTAGCCTTTAGATTTGGCCATCTGGCCATCTGGCAGGCTGGATGATGAGGACGCATGATGATCCTTAGGCTTGTGAACGCGCTGGATAACCTGAAAGAAATTAAGAAAAATACCAAACGTTGGAGGCAGGGGTCGAACCCCTGACCTCAAGCTCCTCAACGCTTTAACGCTTACCTGGCTACCACTGAGCCAATTGCTTATGTTTGTTATAATAATACAAAACAATAAACAAATATTAAAAAGGCCCTACGCTTAAATCAACGCGCGGAAATTTGAACAAACCAATGGAAGGATGCCACGCAGTTGTCTCCTTCCTTGGATCCGTTGGTAAAAGTGAACACTTTTACCTACGGACGTTTGTCTGTAGCTATTGACAGGGCTCATTCCAAAATCCTCCTTGAGCCATATAAATGACATCTAATTCCATGGTTGGACTCGTCTCGTCCTCCTGAACATGATGGTACCATTCATGAAAGCTAATTTCACCTGCAAGCAAAAACCCTAAAATAGAATCCAAAACCCTAACAATGGTGGAATCTACCACAGGCCATATAAATGCAATTAATCAATACAGGAAGGTTGCAAATGTTCCATGGATCAACGATATATGATTAATTCATGCTAACAATGCATGAATCATGAAATTCAAATTCAAAAAAGAAGAGATGTCGTGACGGACTTACAGTGAGATGTAGGGGCTGGAAACGCTTGCTTTGGACTGCTTTGGCTTGCTGATGACCTCAGGAAACGATTGAGATAGCTGGAAGGCCTTGAGGATGCCTGGAACACTGAATTCGATCTTGCACTTTTTCTTGATTTTTCAAGTTTGTGTTCTTAATGTTGCGCCTCTTTCTAACCTAGTTTTGAGTCTGCACACTGTGATACGGTAGGAAGAACTGACTGTTTTTTGGAATGCTGGTTTGCGTTTTGCGTTTATTTTCGCAAAATGTCGCGGTAAGCAAGAGTCGTCACCGACTTTTATTTTATCCAACAAGGAAAGGAAAAAAGCATAGAAAAATTCCTTTTTCTAGATATTTCTCGGGTTCGGGGGGTAGATTATAGAAAGGGAAGGTATTAGCACCCTTTCTATCTGTGGTTATCCACGGGCTCTTAGGTACTTGCTCATATTGTTTTCAAAATATTGCTTTCTTTGTGCTTGTGGGTTTGAAAAAGTTTTTGTTTTGAAAACTTCGATTTAACTCTTGCTTCCGTCCTCAAGAGCGTATGAAGTGTTTTTGAAAACTTTGTTTGAAAAGTGTAAGTGTGAAAAGTTTTTGTTTTTGAAAGAGCAAGTATCTAAGAACCATCTACCTACTCGAAAAAGGAATCGTTCTATGCTAATTTCCTTTAGACAATGATATCCCACTATTAATGAGTAGGTAGCACCGTCGTTGGAGTTTAAGGGTCAATTCGAATGCGGGACTTATGGTCACTAAAGCAACGTTAGGACGCCTTAGTGGTAACCCTAATGTCTTAGATCATTTGTTTTGAGGCAACAATATCCGAGGCAACCGTTTCGAGGCGACTATGATCTTTAGACAAGAGGACGACCTCTAAAGTGACCTATACTCAATGACCGTGTACGAAGGCAACCAAGTGGGGTGTACCCTAAGAGTGCATATGTGCAAGTGTGTCATTTTCAGTTAATTTTATCTTTTGTACATGTTAAGGGTGATCTAAGTTGATTTTAGGTTAAAACTTCAGTCTTGTCATGTCATCCTATTATCAAACATCTAACAGTTATAATTTTGCGGAAATAAAATGTGGAATTTAAATTACAAGGCGTCGGGTATTTACATCGCCAAAGATAAACCCTTTAAATAAATAAAGCGATAAAAAATGAATAAAAGTCCTATTAAGCTATTACAAACCGGAGACAAGTACATTAACATAATAAAAATAAGCAAACGCGTGCGGGAAATTAAATCGAGCGTAAATTAGGGTTTTGACCCTTTTTGAGAGAAATATCTTTTTGTTTTTTTTTAATTTTAAGAAAAGAAATTAACTTAAATTAATTACTAAATTAAATTAATTAATTAAATGAAAAAGAATATTTTTGGTTTTTGGTTATTTTAAGAAAGAAAATAAAAATTAATTGAATTAGTAAAAACCTAATTAAGTCTAGTTAATTTTTAATTATTTGCAAAAAAAGTTAAAATTATTCTAGAATTAAAACCTAAATTAATTTATTAGTATTTATTAATGAAAAATAAAAGTTAAAATTTAATTTGATAAAAAATATTTTTGTGGTTTTTATTTTATAAAGAAAAGAATTTTTTTAATTGGTTAGTAAATAATAAAAATAATTAAAACAAATTAAAATAAATAAACAAAAGAATTATGAGAGAGGAGTATGGGCCTGTTTCCATGGTGTGAATAGCAATGCTGAGGCCCATTAGAGTTGGCCTTGTTGACTTTTTTGAGATCCAGTAGGTGTGCATGGACTTTGCTTATGGTAGACCCTCACTCCTGGATCACCAGATCTGGCCTTTGGCCATCTGACTATTGGATGCTTGATGGTGCATGATACACTGCAAGCCTGGATATGCACATGATCACCTGAAGAAGAAAAATATCAAAGAAAGTGGGGGACCTGGGATTCGAACCCAGGTCCGGATGGATATTACCAATGCACGCTTGCCACTAGGCCACTTGTCCTTGTTTGTTAATACAATAGGAATAATATATATTATATGAAAACAAAAACTATTGCCAGAAAAATATAAAAAAACGCGCGTGGTTTGAATGGCCCAATGAGGGGGCGCCACGCATCGTCTTCAACCTTCCATCCGTGGCTAAAACCCTATAAAACCTATAGCTACGGACACAGGCCGTCACTACAAGTCGTGCATATTCCAAAATCCGCTGTAGGCCATAAAAATGAATTCTAAAGGAATGGTGTGCTCTTCTCATCATCCCGGTCACAACCATACCCTTCTTGATGGCCAATTATTCCTGAAACAAAAACACCCAAAAATATCCAAGAAACCCTAGCTATGGCATTTTGCAATACAGGTCATGTAAACGAAATTAAATAAAGCCAAAAGCTTGGAAATGTTGAGAGGATCACAAATATGTAGTTAGTTTGTTCAAATTATGCAAGAATGAGCCAAATCGAATCCAAGAACAGAGCTAGG